TAAATATAGTATAATAGGGTGGGGAGTTCTCTCTCTCTCTCTCTCTCTCCTCTCTCATTCTCCTTTGTTCTTTCTCTCTCTCTCTCTTCTCCTCCTCTCTCTCTCTTCTTCTCTCGTCTCTCTCTACTCTCTACTTTCTCTCTCCCTTTTTTTCCTTCTCCCCTCTCTCGCTCCCTCCTCTCTTCTTTCACCTTTCTCTTTCTCTCTCACTCTCTATCCTATTTCCCCCCTCTTTTACCCCACCACAAGCACTGCGCAGTAGCGAGAGCGACAGAGGTCCTACGTTGGCTACGCGATAGCGCGACGCGCAGCAGCAAGATGAGTAGAGAGAGAGCGAGAGAGAGAGAGAAGACGAGGAGAGAACAAAGCTACTCGTCGCTCTCTTAGCTACAATCCGATCGAAGATATATTCAAGAGTGAGCCTTTTTTCTCTCTCTCTCTCGCTCTGCTCTCGATCCTCTCTCTCCTCTCTCTCTATCTCCCTCTCTCTCTCTCTCTCCTCTCTCTTCTCTCTCTCCCTCTCTCTCTCTCTTTCCCTTTTCCTCCCGGTGAGAGAGGGCTGGAATGAGGGGGTGACTGCCCGGGTGACAGTAGTGAGAGAGGGCTGGTAATAAAAAAAGGGGTGACAGTAGTGAGAGAGGGCTGGTATGAGGGGTGACGGCCGGTGACCCTTAGTGAGCGAGGGGTGACGGGGGAGGGGCCGGTGACAGAGATACAGTAGTGAGATAGGGCTGGTTAATGGAGGGTGAAACGGCAGTTGGACAACAGAGTGAGATGAGGGCTGGTTAGATGGGTGAACGGGCAGGTTTGACAGTAGTGAGAGAGACAAAAGGGCTGGTTATGAGGGGTGGGGTTTGACGGGAGGTTGGACTGTAGTGAGTAGAAAAGGGTGCTGGTAGATGAGGGGTTGGACCCGGCCGGTGACAAAATTTATTTCTTTCTACTTTCTTGTCTGAGTGTTTGTGCCCTTCCTGGTTACCATATGTACAGATAGGTGGGCAGAGGGGCTGGTAATGAGGGGGTGACGTGACACAGGCAAGGTTGACCGTGTGAGAGCGACGAAAGAAAGAAAAGGCTTGTTAATGAGGGTGAACGGCAGGTTGAACAAAGTAGTGAAGCAGAAGGGCCTGGGTATGGGAGGGGTGACGAGGGCAGGAGACCGTAGTGAGTAGGAAAAGGGCTGGTTATGAGGGGGTGACTGCAGGTGACAGTTGGTGAGAGGAAGAAAGGGATCTGTACATTTTTAGTGAGAGAGGGGGCTGGTATGAGGGGGGACATAGTGGAAGAGGGGCCTGGTATGAGGGTGTCGACGGCAGGGTGACAGTTCGTGAAAAGGGTGTCAGTAACAGATGTTGGTTGATAAATGTCCCCTGCCTGTTTTCCAGAAGCTTGACTATCTACACAAGCAGTCAGTACCCTTGCTTAGCAAACACACACAAACACACACACACACAAAACACAACACACACAAAACAACACAGTACTCTAAACGTTTCACAATCATTACCTTCTTGCTATAACTATAAACAACTAACTTACGGTTAACACTAACCTAACTTACGGGCCCTGGTCAAAAAATAGGTGCACTATATAGAAATCCATTCAGATAACCTAACTACCAACCAGTAGTTTCCTCCCAACCTGTATCCATTTGTCTCTACCCTATCCTTATCCTTGAAGTAAAAAAAAGCCAAGGAGGTCCTCCATGGGCCAAAGAAGCTTAAAGGCTATTTATAAATAAGCCCAGCTAAGGGTTTACAGAAGTACAACCCAAGGAAATTGGTAACACCCATAGAATTTTTCATGTCGAAAGTCAATTTTCATTTATTAGTTCTCTCTGTGGTAAACCCACTCTTAATCTACAAAGGATCAGGAGGACCCCTCATGCAAACACCGTAACATGTCCACCAAAGAGCCTAAATACATAAATAGTATTTCAAGCCTGTGTCTAAATTTTGTTTTTTGCAGATGACTGATTACTAAATAAATTAAGCATTGGGTTGACTTTAAATTCAAGAAATTTAAGTAAGCAGTGTGGTCAAGTCAGAATAAGGGACATAAGATTAAAACCGCAGTTGGCAAGTACATTTGTTTCACTTAGCAGAGAATATTAGACTGCAATGGCAGGTAACATTGGTTTTCAACTTTCAATCCCAACCTAAATCCAGGGGTAAATAAGAATAGAACTTAATCGAACTGCAGTTGGCAGGGTAATCATTGGTTTTTTAACTTAAACAGTCAAAGTAGAATATTATTATGGTTCAGTGGTAGGTATCATTGTATTTTAAACCCTTAAACAAAACAGCAACTAGACATAATTATTGGTTTTATTGTTTACTTATTTTTGTATTTTTTAAGGTTTCTTTTTCTATTTTTAAGTTTTTTTTTTTTGTTTTTTTTTTTTTTTTTTTTTTTCATTTTTTGTGTGGTGTTTTGTGCGAAGGGTCATTAGTTTTTAGCTTAATTTTAGCCTAAAAACAAGCCAGTAGAATATTCGTATGGGTTGTCAGTGGTAAGGTTAAAATCATTGGTTTTTTAGCCTTAAAAAAACAAACAGCAGTAGAAATATTACTAAGGTTCCGTGGCAGGGTCATTAGTTTACTAAACAGCAGTAGAAATATTATTTATGTGTTTCAGTGGTGTAAGGTATCAATTTGTTTTAGGGCTTGAAAAACAGCAGTAGAATATATTACTAAGGTTCAGTGGTTATGTATCCTTGGTTTTGCCTTAAAAAAAACGAAACAGCAGGTACTATATTTTAAGGTTCATTGTGGTAGGTATCATTGAGTTTAGGGCTTTAAACCAGCAGTATAACTATTATTAAGGTTCAGGGTAGGATGAGGAATCATTGGTTTTAACTTCACACAATCAAAATCAAATCAAATCGTATTTGTCACATGCGGCCTGAATACAACAGTTTGTAGAACCTTACAGTGCTAATCGCTTTACTTACACAAGCCTTTCAACCAAACAATGCAGTTATAACGAAAAATAAGTGTTAAGTAAAAAGTGGATAAGTACAGATCAGGGTTGGGTTATAAAAAAATATCCGAAACTTTGAACGCCATTAAATCCATTATTAAAAAATTGAAAGAATATGGCACCACAACAAACCTGCCAAGAGAGGGCTGCCTACCAAAACTCACGGACCAGGCAAGGAGGGCATTAATCAGAGAGGCAACAAAGAGACCAAAGATAACCCTGAAGGAGCTGCAAAGCTCCATAGCGGAGATTGGAGTATCTGACCATAGGACCACTTTAAGCCGTACACTCCACAGAGCTGGGCTTTACGGAAGAGTGGACAGAAAAAAGCCATTGCTTAAAGAAAAAAGATAAGCAAACACGTTTGGTGTTCGCCAAAAGCAATTTGGGAGACTCCCCAACCCTGATCTGTACTTATCCATAACAAAAATTCAAGAGCAGCAGTAAAATAACAGTAGCAAGGCTATATACAGGGGGTACCGGTACAGAGTCAATGTGCAGGGGCACAGGTTAGTCGAGGTAATTGGTACATGTAGGTAGCGTGGAAGTGACTACGCATAGATAATAAACAGAGAGTAGCAGCTGCGTAAAAGAGGGGGGGGGGGGGGGGCAATGCAAATAGTCTGGGTAGCCATTTGATTAGATGTTCAGGAGTCTTATGGCTTGGGGGTAGAAGCTGATAAGAAGCCTTTTGGACCTAGACTTGGCTCTCCGGTACCGCTTGCCGTGCAGTAGCAGAGAAGAAAAGTCTATAACTAGGGTGGCTGGAGTCTTTGACAATTTTTTGGGACTTCCTCTGACACCGCGTGGTATAGAGGTCCTGGATGGCAGGAAGCTTGGCCCCAGTGATGTACTGGGCCATACTCTCTACCCTCTGTAGTGCCTTGCAGTCGGAGGCCGAGCAGTTGCCATACCAGGCAGTGATGCAACCAGTCAGGATGCTCTCGATGGTGCAGCTGTAGAACTTTTTGAGGGTCTGAGGACCCATGCCAAATCTTTTCAGTCTCCTAAGGGGGAATAGGCTTTGTCGTGCCCTCTTCACGGCCAGGTCTCTGACCTCCTCCCTATAGGCTGTTTCATCGTTGTCGGTGATCAGGCCTACAACTGTTGTGTCGTCGGCAAACTTAATGATGGCGTTGGAGTCATGCCTGGCCATGCAGTCATGGGTGAACAGAGGTTACAGAAGGGGACTGAGAATGCACCCCTGAGGGGCCCCCGTGTTGAGGATCAGCGTGGCATTAGAATATTATTAAGCTGCAGTGGCAGGTATCATTGGTTTAACTGAAACAGCAGTAGAATATGATTAAGCTGCAGTGGCAGGTATCATTGGTTTAACTTAAACAGCAGTAGAATAGTGGAAAATGATTAAGCTGCAGTGGCAGGTATACATATGTAGAATTTTTATTTTAGCGAGTTTGCTACAGGAAGAAAATAATCCTGCAGCAACAGGAAATGTGAATTATTATGTGGATTATAAGTAATGTAAAAATATGAGGGTTTGCGCTCAGGCTAGAATGAAAGGCGGCCGGTGCGTGGGAGAGAAAAATATCGGTAGAGTTTCAAAAGTACTCGCACTCAAAACCATGTAAAAGAATAACCCAAGGAGGCATAATTGTTTTTGCATCTCGGCCTCCTTGGGTTATTCCTTTTCATGGTTTTGAGTGCGAGTACTTTTTGAACTCTACAATTATAATTAATGGATATTTCTGTAGGTGTTGATACATTTTTTGTTATGATAAATCAAGTCTGACATTTTAAAGTGGAAATTACAAACTTTAGAAGGCTACAATTTGCAAATGTTCTGTGCAACAGAGGGATCACATTAAGATAGTAGACCTGCAGTGCAGAGAGGCAGGCGCCTGAGCAGACCTGGAACATTATGATTCATTACTGAGTGTGTATGCAGTAACAGAACCCAATATCAATTATTAGACCTGCTGTCTGCTACTCTGTTACACCGGCGGAATGACAGCAGATTTAGGCAGCACCTCTAGTACTCTATAAGGCTGCTCTGGATTATTATTGGAGTACATTTAACACTTTTCTTAAAGCGAATAATGTGTTATTTACATTTTACATTTTAGTCATTTAGCAGACGCTCTTATCCATAGCGACTTACAGTTAGTGAGTGCATAAATTTTTTATACTGGCCCCCCGTGGGAATTGAACCCACATCCCTGGCGTTGCAAGCACCATGCTCTACCAACTGAGCTACAGGAGGCCCATTATTACGCGTTATAATTAAATATAAGCATTTATAATGTGCTATTACCTGTTATAAGCACATATAAGCATTTATAATGTGCTATTACCTATTATGAGCACAGATAAGCATTTATAATGTGTTACTGAAAGGTTCCTACTTAACTGTTTATACACTGTAGGGGTCGTTGGAGGTGGGGGGGTCGGACACAGGGAATGTTGTTAACATAGAAATAGAATAAGAATAATAGAATGCATTATAATTCTATGGTTGCTATGCTAACCTGTGTTTTCTCTGTTTCAGATTGGCTACTGGAACGAGTACCAGCGATTAGTAAATGTGTTAGAACAACAGGTGGTCGCCAACGAGTCTTCTTCTGTGGAAAACCGAACGATTGTGGTCACTACTATTATGGTACACTTTCCATGGCAACTTTGAAATGTGTTCACCACAGCGTATTCTGCCAGTCAGGGCCGCGAGCGGCGGTGTTGATGCCTAACCGGTTGATACATTCTGTCCTGGGCTGGGCTGGGCAGAACCACATCTTTTTTGTGTTTGCTTTGCATCCACTCACTACACGTTGAAACAGTCGATCCCCCTGTAAAGAGAAGAGAGTGTTTCAACTGTATCCGTGTGGGTGACAAAGCATTTAGATTTCTCATACTTCAGTGGCCTGTCGTAGCAGTGACATCACAATATTGGTATTATATGATAAATAAGTAACTGGGTAAATGGTTGAGTTGACTCCATCTAATACAAAACACATACAAAACAACATACCGCCATCCGTACGTAAGTAGAACCTGTCTTGTCTGTCCTCATCAAGTAAATGGTTCAATGACAATCTGGGATAGGAGGAGGGGGAGGAGGAGGAGGAGGAGGAGGAGGAGATGATGATGATGATGATGATGCTCTTGGTGATGATACTACTATGGCTTCTCGAGGACAAAGCAAAATAAAGCACATTTGAGGGAGGATGAGAATGCTAATATCATGTGTTTTGTTCCTCTGAGGGCTGGTTCTGTGTTGAGGTACAGCCTCCACTGGGTTGTTTTGGCATGAAGGAGAGAGTATTGCTTAGATTTCCTGGCAGCAGTGTTGACTGCAATGGGAATTATTTCTTTCACACTAATATTTTACCATATTTGCTCATTATTGAGTGTTTGAAATGACTTTTCCTCCCTGAATGCAAAAATATTCAGGAGGCTGTCAATGTCAGCTATTGTAACGACCTTGTCCATATAGACAACCTTTGAATAGTAAACAAACACTCATGAAAGCAAAACATTTGAAAAGTGATGATGATCCTAATAGTTTGGGAATACAGTATTCCTTACTACACAATTACATGAAATCTGTATTCTGAAAAGTCTTTCTCTCTCTCTCTCTCTCTCTCTCTCTCCTTCTCTCTCTCCTTCTCTCTCTCTCTCTCTCTCTCTCTCTCTCTCTCTCTCTCTCTCTCTCTCTCTCTTTCCTCCTCTCTCTCTCTCTCTCTCTCTCTCTCTCTCTCTCTCTCTCTCACACACTCTCTCTCAAAAAGGAAGCATTTAAAGGCTTTCAGAGATGGATTAGAGCATCAGTAGATAAACACTATGTTAACTCGGGGGGGGGGGGGAGAGGAGATACGTTCAGCACAGAACAAACAAGCCATTGCTTCTCCACTTGCAACCCTCTAATTAAGTGTTGGCTCTAATGGCGTCGTCAGCTCCGTGTGAGCAGCAGCTCTTCCTTTGTCGGGTAATGATGAAACCGTAAGCTAGCTGCACCACCACCGGTGTTTGAAAATAGAGGGGGAAAAAGCACGTCCCACTCTCCCGTTGGTGTTAGTCTTTTAAATATGTATTTATTTACTGACAAGGTAATTTTTTATTTGTGTTTTGGGATTATAATGAAAATGGCTCCTTTTGGTTTTGGTTTTTTGGAATGATTATTATTAAAGCTTTCCCCCTTTGCGCATTGATTGGTGCAATGTGCTTGTTGATGATTATGTTGAGATATTAATATAGCAGCACTCACTTTCTGAACCCTCTCCAAGTCACTGCCATTTACTTTATGAACCCCCACCCCACTCTGAGCTAACCCACAGCCAGCCTACCAATACACCCAGCTCCTGTCGAAGACCACAGACCTCTTACTAAGGCATATTGTAGCCTTAGCAAGACACTGTGAGAAGCCTGTGGTCCTCTTGGACTGTTAGTTTGTCACACACTCACACACACAACCATTCCCCAGGGCTGACAGACAGGATGCTGGGTGAATTAGGGCTGGGAGTCCGCTGGCCACCACAGCTTGGTAAAACACCTACCTGGCTTTTCATCCTGCTGTTATCAACATATACTTCAATGCATCTGTGGTGTGTCATCTGCACATGCATGCCTGCATGAGACTACTGGTTGAAGCTGCTTTCTGGTTTGGGACTGTGTGTGGGGGGGGTGAATGGGGGGGAGGGGGGGGGGGGGGGGGGGGGGGGGGGGGGGGGGGGGGGATGCGCATGTGTGTGTGTGTGCGTGTGTGCGTGTGTGTGTGTGTGTGTGTGACAATAAACCAGCATGTGATCTGACTATTAACAGGAAGCCCCTTATGTGATGTACAAGAAACACCAGATGAATCTGGAGGGGAATGACAGATATGAAGGCTACTGTGTCGATTTAGCTGCAGAAATTGCAAAACATGTGGGGATAAGATACAAACTGTCAGTAGTGGCGGACGGGAAGTATGGTGCAAGGGATCCAGACACCAAGACGTGGAACGGAATGGTGGGGGAACTGGTGTACGGGGTGAGTGGAGTCATCTTTCAGTCACTCACTGATTTTCATTGTTACTTAACCAATGTATGCGTCCCAAATAGCACTTTATTCCCTATATAAGTGCACCATAGGGCTTGATATTGGAATAGAGTTCCATTTGAGATGCAACATTTGTTTAAACATTTACTGCCAGCAGTTGAAAAAGAAAAGGTATGTCTTAAAATGTGATTATGTTACAGTGTTTATAGCCTGCCTCCTATCGAAGTAGAGTACAACTGGAGCTCTGATCTGGGATCAGGTCCCCCGTGTCTATGTCATCTTGTTCATTATGTTTTAAAAGGCAAAACTGATCCTAGATCAGCACTCCTACTCTGAAACGCTTTCTGAATATGCGCTCTGACCTCTCACCTCAGTATCTTCTGGCGCACTCAGTCCCACTTTTACATTTCTCACTAGTCCCTTAGATTGTCTAAATGCCTCAAACCTTCCAGAATGATTCCCCTTTACTCGCGACCCTCCGAGACGACCATAGAGGAGCAGGGCAGAGGGCCGTATATAAAATGGATGAGGGTTAGGTTTCCTCATCTGTTCAATTCTCCCACCATCAGCCGGGAGAGATTGTCTGCATCCTAAATGGCACCCTATTCCCTACATAGTGCACTACTTTTGACCAGAGCCCTATGGGCCCTAGCTGAAAGTAGTGAACTTTATAGGGAATAGGGTACCATTTAGGATGCAGAAATTGTCTGGTTTCACTCGCTAACGCTGGGAAATGATCCTCCGAATGGGAAACTTCCACACACACACACGCACACACACACACACACACTCCCCTCAGACGGAGAGAGAACACCCGGCCCTATCACCATCCACCGTGTCTCAGTTTGGTTAAGTTATGTCCAAATACCATCCCACCGTGTCTCCAGTTTGGTTAAAATTATGGTCCATCACCATCCACCGTGGTCTCAGTTTGGTTAATTATGTCCATCACCATCACCGTTGTCTCAGTTTTGGTTTATTTATGTCCATCACCATCCACCGTGTCTCAGTTTGGTTAATTATGTCCATCACCATCCACCGTGTCTCAGGGTGGTTAATTATGTCCCATCACCATCCCCCGTGTTCTCAGTGTGGTTAAGTTATGTCCATCACCATCCACCGTGTCTCAGTATTGGTTAATTAGGTCCATCACCATCCACCGTTTGTCTCAGTTTGGTTAATTATGTCCATCCACCATCCACAGTTTCTCAGTGTGGTAAATTATGTCCATTCCCATCCACCGTTGTCTCAGTTTGGTTTAATGATGTCCATCACCATCCACCGTTGTGTCTCAGTTTTGGTTAATTATGTCCATCACCAATCCACCGTGTCTCAGTTTGGTTAATTAGGTCCATCACCATCCACCGTGTCTCAGTTGGTAAATTTGTCCTCACCATCCACCGTGGTCTCAGTTTGGTTATTAGGTCCATCACCATCCACAGTGTCTCAGTTTGGTTAATTAGGTCCATCACATCCACCGTGTCTCCAGTGGGTTAATTTATGTCCGTCACCATCCACCATGTCTCAGTTTGGTTAATTAGTCCATCACCATCCAACGTTGTCTCAGTGTGGTAATTATGTCCATCACCATCCACCGTGTCTCAGTTTGGTTTAAATTATGTCCATCACATCCACGGGTCTCAGTTGCGTTAATTATGTCCATCACCATTCACCGTTTGTCTCAGGGGGGTTTAATTATGTCCATCACCATCCACTGTGTTCAGTGTGGTTAATTATGTCCATCACCATCCAACCGTTTGTCTCAGTTTGGTTAATTAGTCCATCACCATCCACAGTGTCTCAGTTTGGTAATATTGTCCATCACCATCCACCGTGTCTCAGTGTGTTAATTATGTCCATCACCATTCACCGTGTATTCAGTTGGTTAATTATGTCCATCACAATCCACCGTGTCTCAGTTTGGTTAATATGTCCATACCATCCACAGGTCTCAGTGTGGTTAATTATGTCCATTCACCACCACCGTGTCTCAGTTTGGTTAAATTATGTCCATCACCATCCCAGTTGTCTCAGTGGTTAATTATGTCCATCACCATCCACCGGTCTCAGTTAGGTTAATTATGTCCATCACATCCACCGTGTCTAGTGTGGTTAATATGTTGCCATCACCATCCCCCGTTCTCAGTTTGGTTAAATGTCCATCACCATCCACGTGTCTCAGTTTGTAATTATGTCATCACCACACCGTGTCTCAGTGGTTATTACAAGTGGAGAGTCAGGCCAAGCAGGCCTAATGTTGTGTAAAGTTTGGTGACCTTCTGACCAGTAAACTAATGTGATCTTAGTTGTCTTTTAAGGTAGCCCTGAAGCCCTGAAAACTCTTTCTTTATGGTGAGTGTTCTCTTCTCTATTAACTAGACCGTTACCAACAGACACCAATGGATTAAGAGGTTATATTACAGCACTGCTGTAGGATACGATCAGAAAGAAAGACAGAAAGAAAGACCAGGCAGAAGACAGAAGAAAGAAAGAAAGAAAGAAGAAAAGAAAGAAAGATAAAGAAAGAAAGGGATAAAGAAAGAACAGAATGAAAGCAGAATCCCAAAGGCAGGAAAAAGATAAAGAAAGAACAAGACCAAAGAAGTAGAAAGAAAGAAGAAGAATAGAGAAAAGAATAAGAAAACCAAAGAAATAGGACCACTAAGAACAGAAAAGAAGAATACGATCAGGAGAACGAAAAGAAAAAGAAAGAGACAAGAAAAGCTAGAATAAGAAAAGAGAAAGAAAGAAAAGAAGACGAAGAAAGAAAACCATCAAGAGAGAGAAAGAAAGAACTACACGAAAACAGACTGAAAGACTAAGCAAAGAAGATAAGAAACCGACAAGATGGAAGACCAGAAGAAAAGAAAATTAACATAATGAATAAAAGAAGAAAGAAACTACGATTTCCTTATACATAAGAAAGACAGATAAGAACCAAAGATATGAGTAAGAAAGGATAAGAAAGAGCCATATACTACCCACTGACCAAAAAAATGAAAGAAAGAAAGGAAAAGTTTAAGATAATAGAAAGAAAGAAAGCAAGAAAGCAACAAGAAAGAAAGGATGCACAAAGGAAGATAGAAGAAAAAAATGATATAGAGCGCCATAAGAACAAGATCAAGAAAAGGAACGAGGAAATGATAAAGAACTAGTAAGAAGAAAGAAGCACAGAAACGAATAGAAGATAGAAAGAATAGAAAAAGAACCAAGAGAAGAAGAAGCTCGCCAGAAAAGAGGAAAGGGAAAAGGAAAGAAAAAAGAAAACTGACAAGAAAGAAAGAAGAAAGAAGACAAGAATGAAGAAACCCAAAGATAAGGAAAGAAACGAAGAAGCAAAATGCAATGAAAGCAAAGATAAAGAAGTAGAACAATGAAAGGTAAGATATGACAAAAAGAAAAAGAAGACAGACAAAGGAAAGAAAGAAAGAACAATCGGACTCAAAAGACACTGAAACGAAAGAAAGAAAGAACTTGTAGAACAAACAAGATAGATAAGAAAGACAGAAATTATAGAATAAAAGAAGACGAAAATGAAAGAAAAGAGCACAAGAAAGAAAAGGAAAAGCAAGAAAGATAACACAAGAAAGAAAAACAAGCCAAAGATAAGAAAGAGCAAAGACGAACGAAAGAACAACAGGAAGCAAGAAGAAGAAGATAAGATAAAGATAGAAAGAAAAGAAAGAAGGAAGAAAGAAAAGGAGAAGGAAAAAAAGAAGAAGAACGAAAGAAAGAAAGATCGAAAGGAATAACAATCACCCATAAAGCAAACGTCACGAAACCGAAAGAACAAGAAAGAGAAAAAAGATAACAACAGATAGATGGAGCAAAGAAAGGAAAGAAAGAGAGAAACAGAAAGAAAGGAAGTAAATAGAATGAAAGAGAGAAGAATAAAGATCCAAGATCAAAGAAAGGAAAGAAGAAGAAAGAAAGCATTAAGAAAGCAAAAGAAAGAAATAACAAGAACAGATCAAGGAAGCAAAGAAAGAAGAAAGAAGCAGATAAATTAATAGACAAGAAAGATCCACCGATGACACTCAAGAGAAAGACGAAGAAAACCTGGAAGGAAACCGAAGGAAACGAAAAGAAAGAAAGAAAAGAAAACGCAAAGAAAGGAAACAAAAAACAAGAATAAGAAGCAAGAACAACGAAATTAAGAAAGACAGAAAAAGAAAGAAAGAAAGAAGAGAAAGGAAAACGAAGAAAGAAAGAAGAAACTTTCAGACAAGAAAGAAAGAGAAGAAAGAAAATGTAAATGAGAAAGACAAGAAAGAAAGAAAAGGGATCTCCGTTTAAGACAGAACGAAAGACAAGAAAGAAACAAAGAAAAGAAAGATACAAGAAGAGAAAGAGAGAATAGAAAGAAGAAAGGAATAGAAAGAGAAAACGCAGAAGAAGAAAGAAAGGAGAAAGACAGAAAGAAAAGAAAGCATAAGAAAGAAAGAGAAGATGAAGACAAAAGAAACGAAAGAAAAAGAAAGAAGAAGAAAGAAAGAAATGGAAAAGACAAGAAGAAAAGAAAAGAAAGAGCAAGTAAGAGAAGAAAGAACCACTTCTAGAAAAGAACAAGAAAAAGAGAAAGAGACACAAGAAAGAAGAAAGAAAGAAAGAAAGAAGAGCAAAAGAAAGAAAAGAAGAAAGAAAAGAAAAGAAAAAAGAAAGAAAGAGAGGAAGAAGAAGAAAAGAAAAGAAAGAAAGAGAGTAAAAGAAAAGAAAGAAAAGGAAAAGAAAAAAATTCAAGAATCAACAAGAAGAAAAGAAAGATAAGAAAAGAAAGAAAGGAAAGAAGAAAGAAAGAAAAGAAAAGAAATAAAGAAAGAAGAAAGAAAAGAATAAGAAAAGAAAAGAAAAAGAAAAGAAAAGAAAAGAGAAGAAAAAGAAAGAACACAAGAAAGAAAGAAAAAGAGAAAGAAAAAGAAAAAGAAAAAGAAAAGAAAGAGAAAGAAAGAAAGGAAAGAAAGAAGAAAGGGAGCTTGGGAGGTTAAGGTAAACAAATAATTGTAGATGACAAGGTCTTGTCTCATCTCGTTCTGTGCATGGAGGGAAGGGAGTTTTTTTTTCTTTGGGGAGGGAGGAGGGAGGGAGGGATGGATGGATGGGAGGGAAGGAGGGAGGGAGCGAGGGAGGGAGGGTAACAAAGAGGGAGAGGGAGTCCCTTTTGGAGGGAGGGAGAGAGAGAGAAGCATGACTCCTAGAGAGAGCAGGGAGGGACGGGAGCGGAGGGGAGGGAGGGAGGAGGAGAGGGGGGACGGGAATGGGCAGGCTCGGGGTCAAGGGCCCCTTTTCCCCCATTGCTCGGAGCGGGAAGGGGAGGCGAGGGGGACAGGGAGGACGGAGAGGGAGGGAGGGAGTAGGAGGGAGGGCAGGACGGAAGGATTATGAAGGTGAGAGAGAGAGAGGTGCAGGGACGGGAGGGAGGGGATGGGAGGAAGGGGTGTGGGAGAGGGAAGGGAGGAGGGAGGGAGAGAGAAGAGAGAGAGGCGGAGGAGGCGAGGGATCAACGGGAGGGAGGGGAGGAGGGAGGGAGGGAGGGAGGGAGGGAGGAGGGAGGGAGTCAGGGAGGGAGGGAGGGAGGTTAGGGAGGGAGATGCTGAAGTGCTGAAGTGGAGTGATTTATTCGCCTTGGGTTACTGTGTTTCTCCCACCACTCTAAGGCTGTAATTTAAATCAGAGCTGTTCTGTTAGACACACCTACATAACAGTTACACTGGTTTATATATGTACTGTTGTGTTACAGAAAGATGACCAGCAACTATTATTCATCTGTCCTGAAAAGCCTTGGCTGCATCCCACATCACAAATGGCACCCTGTTCCCTGCTACGCACTACTTTTGACAGGGCCCATAGGGGATAGGCTGCCATTTGGGACACAGGGCACATTTTTGTTTTGGGGATATTTCCCCTGACTGCATTACAAATAAATAACTTATTACCGTTAATTAGCTATTTATATGCAAATTATGTTATGATGTGTTGACACTCACTGTGAGTTTCATAAACTAAAGATAAACGGAAATAGATTTCTGTAATGTACGTTATTATTCGTACACTTGCAAAGTTTCCAGCCTGTTCTCAGCATCCCTCTGGTCAAATCCAATCAGTCTGAAAGCTTTAAACTAACTAGACAGGGATAGACACTGCACCATGGGGTGCTACATATTTCACACCTGACTCAAACACCAATTTATGTGTTTCTAATTATGCCCAATCTGTGTCTAGAAATCTTTTCGAGGGATGGAGAACATGAAATGTTTGAAAATGTTTTAGCCTTTTTTCCCCTCTCTGATCTCTGATTGTGGACAGATTTGTCGAGACTCTGTAGAACTCAATGTAGTACACACGCTGCATATGATTTATTTCCGTATAGGATATTTCTTTGATGTTGTTGTTGTGTTGACTAAAAGCATCCAGAGGCATAGACTGTACAATATTTTTCTTTTCCCTTCATGGTGTTTTCTTTTGTCCGCTTTGAGACTATAAAGCACGACCGTAGGCCAATATTGTAAGAAACTCACGAAAACTGTCCATAAGTTATGTAAGGACCTTTATTTAACAAACTTATTTTCATTTCATTCAAGTTATGCATAATATCTAGATAAAAACCTTATCTGAGACGGAACCAAACAAACAAACCCATTCTACGTGTCCCTGTTTCCAGAGAGCAGATATAGCTGTGGCACCTCTCACCATAACCCTGGTCCGTGAGGAGGTGATCGACTTCTCCAAGCCCTTCATGTCTCTGGGCATCTCCATCATGATCAAGAAGCCCCAGAAGTCTAAACCTGGTGTCTTCTCCTTCCTGGACCCGCTGGCCTATGAGATATGGATGTGTATCGTGTTCGCCTACATCGGTGTGAGCGTGGTCCTGTTCCTGGTCAGCCGCTTCAGCCCCTATGAGTGGAACCTGGATGAACAGGATGAGACCAAAGACCCCCAGACACCTCCAGATCCTCCCAACGACTTTGGCATCTTCAACTCTCTGTGGTTCTCTCTGGGAGCCTTCATGCAGCAGGGATGTGAGATATCACCCAGGTAGTTATCTGACCTAGAAATATAATGGGGTGGATCTGATGTAGAAATACAATGGGGTAGATCTGATGTAGAAATAGAATGGGGTAGATCTGATGTAGAAATACACTACCAGCTCTCACAGTCTCACATCAGAATCAGACATTCATCCATGTTTCTCAAAAGTCAAATTTCGAAGTTCTTCCAAATGTCAAATTTTCTATACCTGGATTCGAACATGCAACCTTTGGACTTTGGACAGCGCTCACTGTTGCCCCTAGTGGCCGGTTTCTACTTTATCTCCCAACGTCCTCAAACATGGATGGACGTCGAATACTGACTGTATCAAGCGTGACCTGGCTGGAAATACAATGGGGTAGATCTAATGCAAAAATATAATGGGGTAGATCTGATGTAAAAAATACAATGGGGTAGATCTGATGTAAAAATATAATGGGGTAGATCTAATGCAAAAATATAATGGGGTAGATCTGATGTAAAAAATACAATGGGGTGGATCTGATGTAAAAATATAATGGGGTAGATCTGATGTAAAAATACATTGGGTAGATTGGAATATTGTGCTTCTTTTTGGGGGCCTTCAATAGAATAGAATACGTTGTAGTATAAAATATAGCTTATGAATTCTCACAACAGTTGCACTCACATACAGTACAGCACACGATACAGCACACGATACAGCACACGGTACAGCACACGGTACAGCACACGATACAGCACACGGTACAGCACACGACACAGCACACGACACAGCACACGATACAGCACACGATACAGCACACGGTACAGCACACGATACAGCACACGATACAGCACACGGTACAGCACACGGTACAGCACACGGTACAGCACACGATACAGCACACGATACAGCACACGACACAGCACACGATACAGCACACGGTACAGCACACGGTACAGCACACGGTACAGCACACGGTACAGCACACGGTACAGCACACGGTACAGCACACGATACAGCACACGGCACAGCACTCTGGATAAGAGTGTTTTCTTAATGACTGAAATATGAAGATGTAAATGTGTCTGAGTGCTAGCTGTATTGCATTCCCACGCTATACAGCATGACCGTTATTACGTCTCTCCCCTCAATATGGGTTAGTGATGTTGTTCAACATTACCAGTGAACTGTGCAGTCAGATAGATCTTTATGGTCAATCAGGCTTTGGCTCCATATGATCCCATGACCTCATGCTATAGGCCTGGTTAGGTTGACCTTACACTGACCCCAGATTATACTGCTGGTGATGAGTCTGCTGGATAAAATGACATCATTAAAACACCTATATCTAAAAGGTCATGTCATGTATTCTCCCAGTTTCTCAGTTGAAGCTGGATTAAAATATACTGACTCGGCGTTTATAGGGTTAAAGACTAGATTCCAGTGAGATGTGTCAGTCGTACTATAACAGGCTAGGTGTATTGATGCAGTAACGCAAACTGTAAATCTACAGTCTAGCTATATCCATTAAAACACCTTTGTCATATGATATATTCCTGGACTCCAGGGTAGTTTAACATTTTAAAACTGTATTGGAATATACTGACTCAGCTTTAGGTTTTTAAAGCCAGGCTAACCAAGGTTTTTCTGGGCCTTAAAAAATATGTTCCAGTGAGCTGTGCCAGTAGCACTAGGTACAGTGGTGCACAACCTGTAGCGTATTTACTGTCATTATCCCCTCCTATATGGAATGGACAGACACCAGCTGGGTTTACTAGCTCTGCTAATGACACCTCTCTCTAATGTGTTGGGAGGAATGTGTTGTTAATGCTCCCCCCCGAGGGCTCTCATCTCTCTCTCTCTCTCCTACTCTGTCTCTTCTATCTCGCTCTGGATCTTCCTCTCTTGTTTTCTTCTCTCTAGTTTCTTCTGTTTCATTATCTTGTTATGTCTCTATCTATCATCCTCTCTCTAGCTCCACTCTGTATCTTCTCTGTCTCTCTCTCTCTTCTCTTTTCTTTCTTCTCTCTCTCTATGTTTCTTAGATCTTTCTTCTTCTTCTGTCTCTCTCTATCTTATTCTCGATATGTCTTTCTCCTTTCTCTTTCTCCCTCGTCTCTACTAAATCTATCGAGTAGAGCAACTAATATATCAAGGGAGAGGACTCTTTTATAGAGGAAGCACACGAGGCGAGAGAACTCTATTCATCCAGTCTAGCTCATATAGCGAGAGAGTCTGCTCTCTCGATCTCAAGAGGAATGCATTCTCTCTCTCTACTCTCTTCTCTCTCTCTCTCTCTCTCTTCTCTCTCTCTCTCTCGGTCTCCCTCTCTCTCCCTCTCCTCTCTCTCTCTCTCTGTGTCTCTCTCAGGTCCCTATCAGGGAGAATAGTAGGTGGCGTGTGGTGGTTTTTCACTCTCATCATCATCTCATCCTATACGGCCAACCTGGCTGCTTTCCTCACAGTGGAGAGGATGGTCTCCCCCATAGAGAGTGCTGAGGACCTGGCTAAACAGACTGAGATTGCTTACGGAACACTGGATGCTGGTTCCACCAAAGAGTTCTTTAGGGTGAGTACCGGAACACAGGAATGTTGTTGCTAACAACAGGTCCATCAGCCAGTTGGTACACCGGGTTGATCATCTAGGCCAAATGGTCATTCAGGGGCCAATCCTATCGTCCACTTAAAGTCACGTTTTCACTTATTCTCCCATTGACATCAATGTATGACTTAAGTGAAAGTTAGGATTTGACCTTCAGCAATTACTGCTGGTAACTCGGTACAACTGGCTGGTCGGCTAGTTTTAGTACAAATCAATCGGAAAGTACTGTGGCAGAATACATGGTAAAAATGTATGCACTCACTAACTGTAAGTCGCTCTGGATAAGAGCGTCTTCTATATTACAAAAAAAAAAAAAAAAAAGAAGAGCGTTTTGGTCTGATATCATGTGAGTTGATATTGCTATTATGTCATAATGTCACCTCAGACATCAAGTCCCTGAAACCTCTTCAGAACAGCCGTACACTTTCATATTTTACCGTTAGTGAGCATTTGCCCACAGAAGCTGGTTATGACGCCGAACTGCAGTTAGGTCAAGACCCTGGTGAGGACGACAAGCACGCAGATGAGCTTCCCCGAGACGGTTTCTGACAGTTTGTGCAGAGTACAGAGAAATAAAGTATGAAATGTATGCACTCACTAACTGTAAGTCGCTCTGGATAAGAGCGTCTGCTAAATGGCTAAAATGTAAATGTAAAAAATGTTAACACTAGATCTCTGACAAAAACCACCCCGTATTTCAATCAAAACCACAGAACGTGTCATAAGAACTGTCGAGGTGCAGGGGAGCATGTATGGTGCTTCTTGAAATGTTGTGATATCACATGAATGGTGATTTTATGCTGTGGCGATTCGGTTGTGCTGGCCTTGTCCAACCTTGAGACAGTTAGTCTGGTCAGCAGAAAGTCTGATTGCTAACGACGTGTCTAACACACACAGACACACGCACGCACGCACGCACACACACACACACACACACACACACACACACACACACACACACACACACACACACACGCACACACGCACACACACACACGCACACACACACACACACACACACACACACACACACACACACAAACACACACACGCACGCACGCACTCTCTAAGGTGATGAAACAGAGTCCACATCAGCCCTACATTAACTCAGAGGGGTCAGCTCACCAAACCTAATTAGCCGGTTGTGGCTGCATGGAGCTGATGAATAAAGGGCCTCCAGGCCAAATAGAGTAGAGGAGATGGAAGGAAGCAATATGTCCGCCAGCAGAGAGGGACTGACGAGCCAATTAAGTTATAAATTAACCAAAGTCTCATCTGAGAGTTCATCCATCCCCTTGTCAGTGTACAATACAACACGCTGTGGCAGAGTGGAGCTACGTTACAATGCAATATAACACACTGTTGTGATAATGGATAATTATATTTATAATCATTTGGTATTTACAATCTCTATTTATAGTATAATATATTAAATGCCGTTGGGAATATGTTATGATGTAGCCTAAGAGCCTAAGAGCTCAAGTACTGTTTAGACATTGAAGAGGCAGAGAGAGAGTGGGTGTACGAAAGCCTTGTATCTTATTATGAGAAGTGGCAATTAGCGAATGTGTATGTAATGTGTAGGTCGTTTGAACACTGGACACAGCCAGGGACTAACATAGATAATGAATAGTGTAGAAGACACAACACACATACAATCAAAATCAAATAAAAAATCACACACACACACGAACACATACACACACACACATCACACACACACACACACACACACACACACACACACACACACACACACACACACACACACACACACACACACACACACACACACACACACACACACACACACACACACTTAATGAGGCCTGGTTGGGGAGTTGAAGACAGATTTAAGTTATTCCATATAATGAGTGTCCTAGTTCCAGCCAGAGCCTTCAGAGTAGAAATCGACAGGACTTTAATTAAAACTGGAGAGAGACTGACAAGAAAAAAAACACTGATTAATGGGCTCAAGTTCTGTGTCTGTGTGTGTGTGTGTGTGTGTGTGTGCTTGTGTGTGTGTGATTTCTGATTTGATTTTGATTTATTAGAATGGGGTCCGACACATCACACAATTTACATAGATTTAATAACAATAACATGTAGTGTGTGTGTGAGCATCTATCAGTTACACATACATGTCAGTACATACACACAACAAGTAGGTCACATGGGGGAGAGGCGTTGTGTCGTGAAGTGTTGCTTTATTTGGTTTTTGAAACCAGGTTTGCTGTTCACTTGCGCTATATAAGATGGAAGGGAGTTCCATGCACTCATGGCTCTGATTAATACTGCACGTTTCCTTGAATTTTTTCTGGACCTGGGGACTGTGAAAAGACCCCTGGTGGGGTAAGTGTGTGTGTCAGTGACTAAGCAAACAATATAGAATTTCTTATAAAAACAAGATGTGACGCAGTCAGTCTTTCCTCAACTGTCAGCCAAGAGAGACTGGCATTCATAGTATTAATATTATCCCTCTGAGTACAATGAAGAGCAAGACATGTGGCTCTGTTCTGGATCAGCTGCAGCTTAACTAGGTCTTTCTCTGCAGCACTTGACCATATGACTGGACAATAATCAAGATAAGATCAAACTAGAGCCTGCAGGACTTGCATTGTGGAGAGTGGTGTCAAAAAAGCAGAGCATCACTTTATTACAGACATACCTCTCCCCATCTTCACAACCATTGAATCTATACGTTTTGACCATGACAGTTCACAATCTAAGGTAAAAGCAAGCAATTTAGTCTCCTCAACTTGTTCAACAGCCACACCATTCATGGCCAAATTAAGTTGAGGTCTAGAACTTAGGGTATGATTTGTACCAAATACAATGCTCTTAGTTTTAGAGATGTTCAGGACCAGTTTATTACTGGCCACCCATTCCAAAACAGACTGCAACTATTTGTTAAGGGTTTCAGTGACTTAGTTAGCTGTGGTTGCTGATGCGTATATGGTTGAATCATCAGCATACATGGACACACATGCTTTGTTTAATGCCAGTGGCAGATCATTGGTAAAAATAGAAAAGTGTAGAGGGCCTAGAGAGCTGCCCTGTGGTACACCACACTTTACATGTTTGACATTAGAGAAGCTTCCATTATAGTAAACCCTCTGAGTTCTATTAGATAGATACATTGTTGCTCTGAGTCCACGATATGACAGAGGTTGAAAAGCCATAACGCATATGTTTTCTCAACAACAGGTTATTGTCAATAATATCAACAGTTGCACTAAAATATAACAGTACAGCTCCCACAATCGTGTTATTATTAATTTCTTTCAACCAATCATCAGTCATTTCTGTCAGTGCAGTACATGTTGAGTGCCCTTCTCAATGCATGCTGAAAGTCTGTTGATAATTTATTTACAGAGAAATAGCATTGTATTTGGTCAAACACCATTTTTTCCAACAGTTTACTAAGAGTTGGCAGCAATGGGTCCTCAGATCCTCAAAAGGTTCTACTGCTGCACCATCGAGAGCATCCTGACTGGTTGCATCACTGCCTGGTATGGCAACTGCTCGGCCTCCGACAGTGCGTACGGCCCATTACATCACTGGGGCAAAGCTTCCTGCCATCCAGGACCTCTATACCAGCCACCCTAGTCATAGACTGTTCTCTCTGCTACCGCATTGCAAGCGGTACCAGAGCGCCAACTCTAGGTCCAAGAGGCTTCTAAACAGCTTCTACCTCCAAGCCATAAGACTCCTGAACATCTAATCAAATGGCTACCCAGACTATTTGCATTGCCCCCCCCCCCCCCCCCTCTTTTACACTGCTGCAACTCTGTTTATTATCTATGCATAGTCACTTTAATAACTCTACCTACATGTACATATTACCTCAATTACCTCGACTAACCGGTGCCCCCGCACATTGACTCTGTACCGGTACCCCCTGTATACAGCCTCGCTACTGTTATTTTACTGCTGCTCTTTAATTATTTGTTACTTTTATTTCATATTATTATTTTATTTCATGTTATTTTTTTTGTATTTTTGGGAGGTATTCTTCCTTAAAATTGCATTGTTGGTTAAGGGCTTATAAGTAAGCATTTCACTGTAAGGTCTACACCTGTTGTATTCGGCGCATGTGACAAAATAAATGTGATTTGATTTGATTTGAAGCTAATAGGTCTGCTGTTAGAAGCAGTCAATGCCGCTTTACCACTCTTGGGTAGCGGAATTACTTTGGCTTCCCGCCAGGCCTGAGGACAAATACTTTCCTCTAGGCTCAGATTAAAGATATGACAGATAGGAGTGGCTATAGAGTCAGCTACCATCCTCAGTAGCTTTCCATCTAAATTATCAATGCCAGGAGGTTTGTCATTATTGATCGATCACAATAATGTTTCCATCTCTCCCACACTAACTTTGCATAATTCTAACTTGCAGTGCTTTTCTTTCATTATTAGTTTTTTTTTAAATGCATGAGTACGTGTGTGTCTGTGTCTATGTGCGTGTGTGTGTGTGTCGATGTGCGTGTGTGTGTGTGTGTCTATGTGCGTGTGTGTGTGTGTTTTTCGGGAACCACATTCGGGTGTAATTAATCCCATACGGTAGATCCCAGCTGGAAACTTTAAATCAGTCACAACATTTCAAACAGAAATAATTATATCATCGTCCTCTGACACTCCAGCTTTTATATTTGATGAATTCATCCGGCTTCTTTTTATACGAAGGTACAGGCTGGCGAGCACAGCAGAACTTCATAATGGCGTGAGTTTGGAACGTTTTTCAGTCACACTAAACGATAGAAAGCAATGTGTGACTTTCAAAGGAATAGGTAAATTGTCATGGTAACCACACATAACGACAATAAACTCAAAGATCGCCAAAAATACGGGGATAAATGTAAAAAATTAGATATCTCCTAAACAGAAGCACTGCTCTCAGTCTCTATCACACAATGATCTTCCCATTCATCAGTTACTGTAACAGGGGCCAGCACACACCATACCAAG